ATATTAGCTACCTTAGATGTGTAAGGTAAAATAGTTAATAGTAATAGTAAAAAGTTTTAGTTTTAATCTTGCAAAAAGTATCATTTAAAAATCGCAATTCATCCCCCCATGCAGACATAAGGGTCAATAGCATCATAAGCGATTTTTATATAAAAATGTAAAATTAGATTAAAATTAGCTACCTTAGATGTGTAAGCTACTATATAGTTTTAGTTCCAGAACCGATAATGCCAAGAGTTTACACCCTTCTGCAAAACCTGACTACAATATTACAGCTCAAGGAATGGCTGGATCCGACGATACCAGGTCAGTTGCATATGATTACTATCAAGGATACCATCACGCCTAACCATCGACAACGTACAGTGACAAAATATACCGCCATACACCTTAGATGTACGGTGTAACAATTCACTGATTTGAAACAAAAAAAATATAATGTAGGTTTGATGTACGTTTTAAACATTTAATCTGATGAATACATAAAGGATATTGTGTTTAATTTCGTATGTATTTGCTTGGAAAGACTTTTAGCTTTCTGATTACGTTGAAACAATTCTCGAGCAGTGCTTCATTGTTTTTCTCGTAAATCTTAACCCACAAAAGTCGGTTGGAAAATGTTGGTTTTTCACTTTTCCTTTGATCATTTTTTCCACCTGTCGCATAAGAGTGTCGATTATTATTATTATGAGAATATGTTTCTCTAAGTGAAACGATTAAGGTCGGTTGAACATTTAATAAATATTTACGTTTTGGCTACAATTTAAAGAATAGGTGTACGTTGTCGACGTGATGTACGTTGTCCCATTAAACTTACATACTCAATTCACAGTTAACCCTGCCTTATGCAGACAACGTAGTTGTAATACGTAACACTAATCGACAGTGGTTCAGATGCATTTGAACTGAAACTGAACAATTACACTATAACTTCAATTTGATAGCAGTATTGATCCTCTGCACTTCCCAGATATAGCAAGAACGATTTTTGAAAAGTCATCTTCGACTAGCTGTATCTAGTTTTGAACTCTATATCAACTTCTTAATATTATTAAATTCATAAAAGTATTTTTAACAGAATATAAACGTACAAACGCCAAACGATCAAGAGGTTAAATCTAACACCCATTGGTCACATATGAACCACCACACCAACAATTTCATTAAATAAAACAGCACTCAACAAGAGGTCAAAACACCTTTATGAGTAAAGGAAATGTGGAAAAAAACAAATTTTCCAACGGATTTTTGGGTAGATTAACACCCCAGTCACATTTCCCACGGCCGCCGTGCGGTCTATCATTTCTGCGGCCAGTAGCTTTTCTACGCTCGTCGTAGAATTTCTGCGCTCTCAAACTTTTGCAGTCACATTTTCCACGGCAGCCGCACGGTGAATTTTAAATTTCTGTTGATAAATAATACTTTTTTTTCATTTTATTTACATCAGGACAATTTGTAAATTTTACTCATAGTGCTAGTGTGTAATATCAAATGAAAAGTGATGGTGAAACATTGACAAATAATGATTAAATTTTGTTGAGCCAGTTGATTTCTACAGGGACCTCAGAAATGAACAACCCTGCTGCCTGTAAAAAACTGGATACGCCGTACGGAGGCCGCAAGGCAAGCGTAGTTTTCCTACGCTCTCCGCAGAAATACATGTACACTGATTTAATTGATCTGCGGTCGACGTACGGCTGCCGTACGACAAATGTGACTGGGGTGTTATTACGAAAAAAACGAGCATTGCTCTAAAATAGTTCAACGTAATCGGAAAGCTAAAGGTCTTTCCAAGCGGATACATACGAAATTAAATCCTTTATGTACGAGTATTTTTAAGATTATTTTTTTTAAACGGACATGACATCACATCATCGTTTTTGTTTCAAATCAGTTAATAGTTACACTGTATACCTAAAATGTACGACGGTATATTTTGTCACTGTACTTTGTCGATGGTTAGGCGTAATCATGCCTCTTGCAAATCATGATTAAAGTGCGAAGGTTGATTGTATAACAATTACTGGTACTAAAATGGAATTTACTGAACTCCATATATCTGTCTTGACAAATTAATGGCTCGAATAAAATTGAATGATGTTTAAAATGTAATGTTACATCTATGATTCTAGAAGCGAATTTATGGAGCCGATAGAGGTAGCTGGTTTGAAAACGGCATGTGCAGTTTGTCAAAATGAGCAACCAGTTGGTATTTGCTACCTTGGAAAAAAAGAAAAACGGGATATTCTTTTACGGTAATTTCTAAACAAGTGTACTTTTTCAACAAATACCAGGTTGATCAATAAGTCGGGAGAAAAATTCTTTAAAATCAAGAGTTTTGTGTTTTTTTATTTGAAATTTTCACAGAATCTGTAAAATGAATTCAGCAATTTGTATTACAAGTTTCATGCATTTTTTCTTTTATTGGTCAAAAGATATGGTTACTATTTATTCATTATTTATTTGACAGTCACTTAACAGTGGCACTCAAAGGTCAATATTACATATTAGTAGTATGCAATCAAATCATTAAAATAGGTTAAAATCATGCTGTGTTATGTTTCACATACACCTTTTAAGAAATCTTTTTGTACAAACATCAAAATTCCAGCCATAGTTGTCGTGCCCCAAAATGCTAAACACATCACCCCGAGAATCCACTCTAAGTTCATTTGTGGGGGAAATTTAGGTACTGAGACACAACTGGAGCACCACATTTACTACTTAAATCATGTATAAATACAGTCCTTTGTTTCTGAAAATGAGGGCAGGAGAGGAAAAGACGGATGGGATCATCTATAACATTTAAATTACATAATTTACAAATACCGTTACTTATTTTCCATCTTTTTCTGTCTTCCTCAAGGTTAAAGCAGCCTGTTCTGGCCAGAAACTTTTTTTATAATCTGTTTTATTTCATCATTAAAGTACAAATAGTAGCTAATATGTGTGACCAATCGCTATAAAGTATATCATTATAGGTTCACTTTAAAACATATAGTATGTGAAAAAGATTTATTTTTCTGACAAAGGGGTTTGCTGGTATTTGCTGGGCAATGGTGCTTGGGCAAGGTGATAAGATGATCTGTTGGAGCATAAGGAGGCCATCTTGAGCATTAAGTGGAATGGAATTGTCTGATAAAAAATGTGTAACTAGTTTGAAAATCATAATGTTCTGTTCAGTTGAAAGATCAGGATGACTAAATAAAAATGTTCTGATTATACCATTTTTGTCCCATTTGAAGGTTAACTAATAAGTGGAAGATGTTGACATTTAGATTATGAGAGTTCAGGTTGAGACCACAATTGAAAAATATGTGCTTCACAGTTTCGACTTCGCCACATTGACAATTTGGTGAGTCTACATTTGTGAAGTTATGAGCATACATTTGTGACTTTAAAAATAAATCCACTCTCTTCTGTTAAGAATGATTTCTTGAGATCGTGACAGGGTCAAATTGGAAGTTGATATAATTTTGTTTTTATATTTGATCTCATTTTTTGAATGAATAAGAAAATGGGCTATTTTTGATATTGTTGGGGACAGGAATTTGGTAATCACGAAGATATCGGAGTTGCCTTTGGTTGTGGTTTTTGAATGGTCGAAATATATCAGCTACATAGGAGGGTGCCCTATCATTTTGGATATTATAAATAATTTTCTTAAAGTGGCAATCTCTTATGAAAGTTAGATTAGGCCAATTTAAAATATTTAATGTTTTAGATGTGCTGGAGCCATGTAGTGCTCCAGAGCATATGAAGGCAGCCTGGTATTGCAGCCGGTCGAGTTTTTTGAGATCTTTTAGAATAGTATTGTGATATAATATATCACAATATTCAAAAAGGGGTTTCATATATGATTTATACATTGTTTCGAGTGTTTGTGAGTTGAATTTGAATTTAAGTGATTTTAAAGGATTTAGTGCAGTTTGGACTTTGTCACAGATATAAGAGATGTGTTGGGATCCTAATAAGGTTGAGTCAAGAATATAGCCAAGGTGTTTATGCTGATTTTTTCTTTGAATTATTGCATTCTTTAGAGTCAGAAAGGGATAATTTTTGACTTTTGAGAAAACGATTTCTACTGATTTTTCAGGTTTCAAGTGAAGTTTCCACAATTTTAACCATTCTTCAACTGTCTGAAAATCAGATTTTAAAATTCGACGAGCGACTGGGTCATTTGGAATACAGGGCACATATAAAGATGTGTCATCAGCATAGATAAATGATTTTGAATTTAACCTATCAGGCAGGTCATTTATATAAAGGAGAAATATAATTGGCCCAATTATACTTCCTTGAGGTACAGATAGATCAATGAAGACTTCATCTGATGAATTTTAAAGTTGTCCTTCTACGTTAACTTTAATTTGTCTGTTTGAAAGGTAAGATTTAAAGAGCTCTAGGATATTGAAGCGTTTTTTTTATAGCTTTCTTTGGGTTCTATTTAGGATATTAGAGGAATTGTTGGTAGCGTATGATTCAATAAAAACAAACACAAGTAGAATTAAGTTTTAAAGTTTATCCTTATATAAAGTGTATTGTACAAAAAATGAGAGCAGGCTGTTGTTACTTCTTCAACTCAACTTTAACTCTGACAACCAATCTGACCAGCACTGATGGTTCTCTCTCTTATATGGGCTAGGCCAGGTGGCTCATTGAGTGACAGGTATAATTATACACCTGCCTTAACACACTGACCAATCCCATACAAGATAGAAGACCACCAGTGCACATAAGATAATAAAGCAAATGGTGATACCTAAAATCTATCAACATGAAATGAAATAAAATGCTACACAGCCTCCCTCTAAACATCATGACTCTCCTGAGTCATAATTTAACAATACTTACATATTTACATAGTAATACAAGGATAAGATATAATTTTATTTTTTTACTTTAATCGAATTATAAATCCTCAAGAGTCTCTAAGTAGTAGATTCAAAATGATGGTTTTAAGAATGTTAAAAAGATGTCACTGATAGTCATAAGTAAATATTCCATTATAGTCCATGGTAAAGTCAAAGATAAAATCCAGTTGCAGTAAAATATCCAAATGTTCGTAACATCCACAAAATAATCCATCTCTGCAATAATGTTCAGCTACATGTATAATCCATAAACACAATTGTCACAATTATCCCGTAAATTTAAAATGGTGTTTCTGCTAAAGTGATAGTCTTGGTCTCCCTTACGCCATTGAGTGATGTGGTAGTGGATTTTGAAATCCTAACGATGTCATTTTCGCTGGCAAATTGTAGTAACTTCTTTCTCGATGTTGCATCTACCAAAAATGTCATTGTCTCATATGTACTAGTGACCTTGACATCATTGTCTTTCTTCACCAATTTAGATCTCAGATCTTGCGGGTTTGGCTGGGGGTTTGGTGGTGATTCAAACATACGGCTATCTTCGGACGTATCCTCTTCATAATCCAGATCCAGGTCATCAATTGGGCCGACTTCTTTTTCGAACTCAGTGTTTAGCGTTACAGAGCTGGTGGTTGGTTCTAATACTGCAGTATTCAATTGTGAAACATGGTTCTTCTCATGCTCTTTTATTGATAGAAGAGTTTTGCTTTTGAATCCGCATCCTTTTCTGCATAGATATTTTGCAGGCCGTTCTGCGCATTTTGAAAGATGAGTCAGAAGATCTTTCTTCTCCATGTAGAACTTATGGCAGTTTCTACAAGTAAATACTTTAGGCCCGACTTTTGGACTTTTGGAGGACTGATCCTTTCCTTTTAGGAACTGCTCCAGCTTCCATTTCCTAAAAGCTTCCAGCTCTCCAGATTTTACTTCAGCTAGTGGGCTAATAGTTAGATCTTTTCTTTCTTTTTTATATCTTTTCCACATGATTATTACGTTCTCCTTTATTTTAGTTGATGTG